GGACGGCTCGGCGGACCTCAGACAGGTGACCACGAGTCTGCAGACCCGCAAACGGCGAGTCTACGACATCACCAACGTCCTGGACGGCATCAACCTCATCGAGAAGCAGTCGGCCAACAAGATCAAGTGGATGTGAGTAAACAGATGAAGTGATGGCTGCTGACTGTGTTCGCCTGAAACCTTGTTTTCTGAACCTGTCTGTAGTTTTTAGTTGTGTGTTAGTGGCAACAGCCCCATGTTAAAACCAATTGAACACAATTCACTTGCTTTACAATGGGTATCTGAAAGTTTAAAAGAATCAGATAAAAATATATTATTGGGTTCTAATACAAAGACTGGTGCCTCTTTGACACAACTGTTGGCTGACATACACCAGTAAACAGCAGAATTAGTTCATACGTTGAAAATGAATCACTCAACAAGTCATAACTTAAATAAATGAAGTTTTAATTAGTTGACCATTTTCAGCTAAAGCATGAATCATGAAAATGGCTGGATCAGCGCTGCCACCATGTCAGTGCATCTGTATGGCTGGAGTTTACCCTTTTTTTTCTCTCTTACTGTGATATGAAAATCAGTCTTTAATGAAATATGACTTGTGTGTGAGATGTAGCACATGGGATAAAATGTTTCAACAAATATGGCACTGTAAATTTGCTCCTTCAGCTGATGCAACTCATTTTGTTATTAGGTGACCTAACGTTGAAAGCTATGGAAAATACTATTATGATGAGTAGTAAGATTATTTTTCCAGTCTACTTCTTCAAAGATCACACATGAATTTGGCCTCATATAAAAAGTCTTGAGCACTGCTCTCTGGCTTTCATCTGTCCAGCGCGAGGACTCCCATCTCCAGCTTCCTGTGGAAAAACCAGGAGAAGTTCCAGAGAGAGATGCAGAACCTGAAGCTGGTGGAGGACACACTGGACACCCTCATCAAAAGCTGCGCCCAGCAGCTCTTCGCCATCACTGACAACTTGGAAAACTCTGCATATCCTTTCACACCACATCCAGGAGCATGGTCAAGATTGAGGTCTTCTGGCCTTCTGGACTGAATTCCCATATTTTCATTTGGCTGAGAGAACTGAAACGACAGGTTTGGGATTTTTCAAGCCGCTTTTAAAAACAATATTGATGTGCCCAGATGTACGTGAGAATGGGTCTAAGTCCTACTGTCCAGACCGACCCTGAAGGTTTTTACATGGACCACGACTATGCTGTAAAAAATGAGGGCCAATCACACAGCCCTCATTCTGTGCAAAAACACACTCAGGAGTCTGTCTGAGGCTCAATCACTAAGCTGAGTCAAGTTGATATCTTTCATAGGCTAAGACAACATTTCTATTGTTTTACCGGGATAGTAGTTCCGGCCAAGCTGTGGCGGAGAGATACATTTTGGTAGTTGTGTGTATGCTGCTGCTGTTGTTAACAGTTAGGCTCAGATTTACCTTGGACACGAGTTTATAGTTTGCAGGTTGTACTTTTGGGAGACATCAATAAAACCTGCTACTGTACTAAAGGATCAGTGTAGAAAAAAGGAAGCTAGGCCTGTTCTCACGTACATATCAGCATGTCAGTACTGTTGTAAAACCCTACCCTCTTGACTTGAATTTGCCGAGTGGATTTTCTTTAACCTCTCCTGCACGATGGCCTACGTGACCCACAAGGACATCAGCCAACTCGGGGCCTTTCAGGAGCAGACGGTGATTGTTGTCAAAGCTCCAGAGGAATCCAAACTGGAGATCCCTGCACCCACAGAAGTAAGTAACAAAGACAACAGTCCGTTCTGTCCATTACTTGAGAAAGCCCCAGGCTGACTCAGGTTGCTGTGTTGATACAGGACAGCATCCAGGTCCATCTGATAGGGGAGAAGGGCCCCATCATGGCGCTGACCAGTGAGATCAGCTCAGGAGACGCTGCAAGTGAAGAGAAGAGCCGCTGCTTTGTAACACTCGAAGAGGGCCGGATAAAGACAGCCACGCTGCACACAGGTTAGAGCAAAGTTCATTTAGGTGTGGAAGAGGATCAGGGCCGCCATAAAAGCTAAAGGAATCTGAGTTTAAAGTCAGAATTTTAACTCTAAACCCTGAATTGACTTTTCTCAGAATCAGGGTTTTTTTTCCCCCCTTAAAATACCAAGTTTACACAATTCTGACTTTTACAGGATTCTGAGAAACAAGTCAGAATTTTAACTTTAAACTCTGAATTCTCCGACAGAATTTGGGCCACTGAAGAAAATTTAAATCCGTGAAAAAAAATTTGAGAAATGTCATATGATGAGATTAGGGTCATTTTATTAGACAAACAGGCGACTGTCACCTATAGCTTCTTTAGACTACAGGATACTTACTGTCTGCGTTCAGACGAGGACCATGGAGCATCTCGTTAAGTTGTCCAAAACTACAACAGCTAAACTTATCAAACATCTGAGCCAATCCCGGCCGGCAATCGGGCGAAGGCAGGGTACACCCTGGACAGGTCGCCAATCCATCACAGATTATGTAGGTTCACGGTGAGTAATGTGATTTCCATTGATTTGGATGAACAGATCCTCTTCTCTGCCTGTTGTTGCAGAGGCCACAGAGTGCACAGCCACCGGCTGACCATCAGGAGACGCCGGCTGTCCTCAGCCTGGGAAGATGACAGAAGAGCTGGATGTTGCACAGCGTGTCAGGTTGGAACATTACAGACATTAACTGAGCTCAGCTGGTGGCGCTCACTGAAGATTTAACTGTCGGTTGACATGTTTAATCACTCATTCAGTTCAAGACGTGATGTGGAAATCAACAAGGAGAACTATTTATGCGAACAAGGGTGAGGATGACAGTTTGACTGGTCTGACTTTGGATGAGAGACAACAGGAGCTGCAGTATTTCTAGAGGGTCTGTGTTGTACACTATCTTCATGTACTAATGTAGGTTTACTGTAGAATAGTTGCTTTCTTTATACATTTTGTTTTTGACTTTTGGACATTAAACTTTGAACTTTCCTCAAAAGATAATGTGACAAAAATAGCTCATTCCTGGGGCAATAGAAAATGTAAACTATCAAAAACATGATTTACTTCAACAGAGCAAGGATGGCTGAAACATAGGTCCATGTCTAAGTAGTATGTTAAAGGATGGGGCTGCTCATTTTCTATACCATACAGATGCTAAAACGAACAGTGACCTGCCTCTACTCACTGTTAATGCCTTTGTCTCCAGCCTGGAGCAGCTTATTCACCCGTGCTATAGACCTGCTCTGCTGCACTGGGTGACAAGGCTCTTCATTACAACACAAGACATTTGTTAAATGTTGCACCAAAGATATCGCACGTGCAGCTGACTCTTGCTACTTGAGATGCTGTAAAAAGTTATGGCTGTTTGCCTTTGGGGCAACATTTTTAACAAATATACAGGGCTGATGTTTCATAATGAGGAGACGTGTCACCCGGTGCAGCAGCGCATTTCACTGTTAATCGCTTTTGAACAATAATGGAGATCCATGGCACCGATGAACAAGCGCATCCAGGTTGGAGACTGACAGACATTAACAGTGATTAGAGGCAGTTCGCTGCTGGTTTCAGTTTCTGTATGGGGAGTGTTGAAAACACTGTTAAAGGATGAAGTCAGTTAGTTTTCTATATTAACAAACACATGAAACTACATTTCAGTCATCCCTCTATTTATTGAAGTAAATCATGTTAATGGTATTTTTCTTTCGGCTGTTCCCGTTAGGGGTCACCACAGCGAATCATCCGTTTCCACCTAACTCTATCCTCAGCATCCTCTACTCTCACCCTAGTTAACTTCATGTCCTCTTTTAGCACATCCATATATCTCCTCTTTGGCCTTCCTCTTGACCTCTTGCCTGGCAGCTCCATCTCCAACATCCTTCTACCAATATAACCACTATCCCTCCTCTACACATGTCCAAACCATCTCAATCTGGCCTCTCTGACCTTGTCCCCAAAACAGCCGACCTGAGCTGTCCCTCTGATGTGCTCATTCCTAATCCTGTCCATCCTGGTCCCTCCTAGACAGAACCTCAACATCCTCATCTCTGCTACCTCCATCTCTGCCTCTTGTCTTTTCCTCACTGCTACAGTCTCTAACCCATACAGCATAGCTGGTCTCACTACTGTCTTGTACATCTTTCCTTTGATTCTTGCTGCCACTCTTCTGTCACACAACACTCCTGACACCTTTCTCCACCCACTCCAACCTGCCTGCACTCACCTCTTCACCTCTTTCCTACACTCCCCATGACACTGGACTGTTGACCCCAAATCCTTAAACTCCTGCACCTTCTTGACCTCTGCCCCCTGTAACCTCACTGTTCCACTTCCCTCCCCCTCGTTCATACACATGTGTTCTTCTCCCCCTCGTTCATACACATGTATTCTTACTTACCATGACTGACTTTCATTCCTGTTCCTCTACCTGCTCTCTGCTCTCACTAGGTTATTGGTACTTTACACTAATTTTTTTCCTCTGTATGAATCACTACAAAGAACACTTCCCACCCTGCGGTCGTATTTTCAACATTCTTCCTGTAACATTTTCTGAGTGACTGATGTAAATAACTTTTGGTAGTAAAGATAAACTTGTAACTGTATTAGATTTCTTATTTTCAGTTGGTTTTGTTGTTTAATGGAGTATCCACGGTCAGAAAAAAGTCCATGTTTGGACGGCTAGAAGAAAACTTAATCTTGATTTGATAATGCCTGTCTCAGTAAGTGCTCAAACTAACATTTTGCACATTGACACTATGCAGCACACACTGTATTTGAAACAACTCTAGACATTTGACACTGTTGTTGCCAATTTGTCTTTTCAACAATAAAAAGATAAATCTAACTGAAATACAGACTTCCCATGCAGTGCGTGTGTGGTGCATTTACCTTTAGCCATGAGGATGAAGAGGCCTGTGATGACAGCTGCAATGCCGTAGAACATGATGCTGCTGCATGATACTGTTCATGTTGGAACCAAAAGTGGAGGCAACAGGAAGCCTGTGGCCGTTTCCAACTAGGGTCAAGAGACAAATACTAACGCTACTAAAATTGTTTCTATACTGGGAGTTATATTACACATTTAAACCGAGTGTGATAACATCCTTGATTAAAACTCAGTGAAGCATTTCTATTCTGTTACGTTCAAATTTGTTGGGAGGAAAGTTTATTTTTCCTTCTAAATTCTATTCTGTTCAGTAATAACTAACATAGGACACAGATGGTGACAGATGAGAGGAGCTTCCTGACTGAGTGGAGACAACCAACAGGGTCACTGATCAATCAGCTGATCATTGTCCTGATGATCTGATTGATCCGTTTATCCCCAGAGTGTCAGACACTGGAAAAATTCCCACTGTGACTCTCCAGAGCCAAAGGTGGTGTCTTCATGTCTTGTTGTGTCCAACCAACAGACCCACAGAGACTCAGCTGATTCTCATGTCTGACAAAGAAAAGCATCAGCTCCTCACATTAAAGAAGGTGGAACCAGAACATGTCGGTGACTGTTGCTTCTAAATAGCTGAGGTTCATTTTCTACCAGTGAACTGACTCATGGCTTCAGCTCTAGGTCACTGAATGGCTTCATGAGGACGACACAGTGGGGGGATCTGGTTTGGAAGGAGGAGGTTTCTTCCTCCGACAGGAGACCTGACACTGCTCTGTTGGCCACTGGTTGTTACTTTAATCTGTCACCCTTGTGTATGCAACCAGAACAAGACTCATAACTGCTAGTGTTCATGTAAACACACACACGCACACACACACACACACACACACACAATGCCTCACCTCTCCTACTCCAGCAGGTTGGTGAAGTCGATGCATTTTCGTTTCTCATTGCCCAGCTCCATGACGGTGTGGCAGTGACAGTTAACCTAGCGAAAACAAAAAGACAATCAGTATAATACATAACATTTAAAGTGTATCAGTGCAAATAAAAAACCCGGTTTCAACTATGGGCCCATTTTTGATGAAGATTACTAAGGTTCCAGTTCAACTCCTGCCACTGTCTTGAGCTTTGAGTCAGCTGGTACCAAAACAGAGGTAACATCTCAGGGACTCTCACTGGAGGCCCTGAACCCCCAGGAGCCGACCTGAGGCAAACGGTGAAAGACTGACCGAACATTTCGCTGCACGTGAAGAAATAAATCACTGAACTGAAACATAAGGTTCATATTAAAGAGGCATTATAATTAAGAAAATAAAATATTTCACTTTATTCTGAAGGTCAGACTGAGGAAGTGGCCTTCTGCCATCAGCGGAAAATGATAATTTATCTTCTCCAGGCCACAGTGATTAGTGAATCCTTAAATCTACCACATGGTGTGAAACTAACTGTTCAACAAATACAGCCCATCAGACAAAGTGCAGTGACAGCGGCGACTCTGATCTCTGTACAACAGCACCACACAGTGGACAGGCTGCAGCATGGCCAACAACTCAGCGCCTCCAGAGGAGGAAATCAATTTCTAAACCAACACTCACAGTCACAACACGAACACGGCTGATACAGAGCTACAGCTGGCAGCAGTCCTAGTACCCACACTGTGAGCGCTACATATGTCACTGTCAGAAACACACAAGGCACTTAACTCGATGAGCACTTTTCTTAACGCTGCTTTCAAGCAGACTCAGACATGAGTGTATCCCACAGTTCACAGGATCCTGGATTCAGCCTGAACATTAGTACACAGTGGAGCCTCCATAGAAATGTATTTTGCACAACGAGAACAAGACTTTTCCACTTTTGGATAAGTCCTTGAACAACACTCCTCCCTGTAGCTGTGGGCTCATGCAGTTAAAAACTTATCAGCACAGTGATTTAACAAAAGCCAAATGAATCTAAAATAAAACAACTAGACACTAAAGTGACTCCAACAACTTTGATTCACACGTGTTGGCTGTGCCCTGACCTGCATCATCACTGCAGCTCCACCTTCACATCTCTTTACAACATGGCCCGAACAAAGACCAAAGCATGGTCTATGACTACACTGCATTCACCTGCCTGGTAACCTGCTGCCATGTAACACATTTATCAGAATAAATATCTCCCATGTACATGCTAATGGTGGTTTTCTTTTTGTCACCATGATCTGATTGCACCACAACACTGTCTGATCCTATTTATTGGTGAACTTTTTGGAAATTAAATAAAACCAGTACAACATCTGAGCTCATCATGGACTGAACCATTGAACCCAAGTCTTATCGGACACTTGGCTTCTGCAGCTTTTCGGTTTACTCACAGGTCTGAGCAAGTACATTCGCCTCCTCTGGCAGACAGACATACTCTAACTTGGTTTCCCTTTCTGTCCCTCAGAAACAGACTCTTTTCCTACATAATGAACATGGAACAGAGGGTAACAGAGGAAATGATACTTGATTATCTCATTTTGCCTGTAAACAGGAACATTATGGCTAACAGACTCAGTGCTCAGATACCGTTGGCATGAGCACCACCAGAACATCCCAACCTCAAGCTGAACATGTCAGATCGACCTACAGGACACTGAGCTCTTATGTTTTAAGTTTTGTGGCTGATGTTCTCATCCAGAGAAGCTCATGTCAGCAGTGACCAAGGCAAAAGAACGAGCTTCAACGTGCTGTCTGACCGTCACAAGAAACCAAGAGGAGTGAGTGAAAGTGGTCAAAGGGAGGAGAGTGGTCTGGAGGACTAACAACCAACACCACCTGCCAGTACAACATGGCAGCCCCGATGCACAAGTGTCGACAAACCTCGCCCACAATTAACGAATTTCGGCAAATCAATGAATAAAAGTGTTTCTCCACAACGCTAATAATTAAAAGCCACGACTTCACTCTAGTAACTTAACTTCAGACATAAAGCAAAAACTCCAAATAACAACAGAGCAGAGACGAAAGCGCTTACCTTCCCAGCAGGTAGTTAATACGAAAACAGGAAGTGTAGCTCACGGACATGCGCATTAAAGTCAGTGTGGAAAAAACTCAAATAAACTTTATTGAAGCGTCGCATAT